TTGGATTGGATTACACCTCTCTCCCTGTAGGTGTAAATGTGTACTGACAGATATTTTCTAACTAGGCTTGACTGTATTAACAGCTGGGAAAATCTAGTTTCTTCTGTAGCTTTGAGTAATTTTTGTGCTGTATTGTATGACTGAAAGTTAGTAACAAAGAGTGTTCCTGGACTCTTACAATCAACTTAACAAGGGGGATTATAACGCAGGTGGCCAGGACAGAACAAAACAAAACCAATACTATCTTAAACGGCAGAAATAATTGTGGTCAGCATCTTGTAGGTTCAGCTTAGCATTCTTGCTTAGGTCTGCTGCAGCTCATTGAAACAGTATTTACATATGTGAGTTACATGCTGGGGTAGGGAGGGGACCTTCAGTATGTCATGGTTAGCATTGTGATTCTGTACTCAATCTAAAAACAAGCTCTGACCAGGATGAAATGTCATGCAGTTCAGTAGGATTGGAAATCTAACTATGCAAACAACAGCAGTGAAACCGGGCTTGTTAGGTGGCTGATCATATTTCTGGAATCTCACTTGTGTGTTAAAACTGGAGTTGCAGACTAGCTTGAGTAGCTTTGCACTGTTTTTCCTTTCAATCTTCCTCCTGTTTGACCTCCAAGAGACATTATAAATAAAAAGAAACCTCTCTCACACATACCATGCTTTTGCCAGGAAAAGGGAAAGATCAAGTCTTTATCTAAAACAAAGTCCAGTGATGTGACAGCTGTTTTCTGGCTGTTTGCACTGGCTTTGTGGCTTGATGTTCATAGATCAAGTTTTCAAAGCACAGTTTCTCCAACTTATATTCCTATCCTCAGCGGATGGGTAGTGGGATTTATCACATCGATCCTAAGTAGGAAAGACCGCAGTGGTCCAGGTGAGCCCATTTGTTCTTGACACAGCTCACCAAATGGGCAGGAAAATTACATATTTCCTCCTCTCTTTCCTTAGAAAAAAGTTGTTGCTCAGTCAGAAGTTGTGGAAAGTAACCTAGCTTGAAATAACATTTACTCCCCCAGGAGAATGCATGATATGAAAGAAATTAAAATATATTGAGTATAAGACAACAGCCAAATGGCTTGGCAGTAGCCATGCCATGTTATCATGAATGTTTGGATCAAAAAAGGATTGCTTTGGGATTTTTTCACATCTTTTCTTATCTCACAGTTCCTGTGCATAGATGCATCTACAAGATTTCCAGAGTATTCTGAAATCCCCAAATCAATTCATCTTTGTTAGAATTACATCACAGATTATAATACACCATAGAGAATTCATAAAACTGGATATAGGGTTCACAACTAGAATTTCTTGGACCAACTCCTAAATTTAGCATTAGAAGATGTAACTGACCCTGACAAAACTGGTGCTGTATAACCGCTTTAATGCTGAAGTAATGTCTGTCCCTAAGACAGGCTGAAGTTGTTTTTTTGGGAGGTTGGGTTTTTTTTTAGTGCCCTATCTGTTGCTTGGTGCTCTGATAAAACAAGCAAATAATTTATTTCTGTCACAGACCATAAAAGCTAAATACTGTTTTGGCACTGTTACAAGAATAGGTACTACAGTCATGTAATTTGTAATGCTCCTTCATGCTATTTTGCGCAGCAGCTAGGAGATACCCCTGAAATTATAGGACCTTTAACTGTGTCACTATTAACATCAGCTGCCAGAACTCTTCAGAAATAGGCCTTTCTTACAATATTTAATGAATGAATGCTAATGGCTTGTATTTTAAAATAAGTGTCTGTAAGTACAGTAAGTCTCTGTAGAGACTTAATGAAAAGGTTTATTAGTTTTGTTTTCTCTTCCCAGATGAAAATGTCAGAAGATGATACTAATATGGAAGAATACCCCACTGAAATCCATGATTATCTTGCAGCATTTGAAAAATCTCTTGGTTCTGTAGATGAGATGCTGAAGACAATGATGTCAGTTTCCAGGAGTGAGCTTCTCCAAAAGGTAAATAGTCTTCCTTTTTGTTATTAATGCAGGAATACCTGAGAACCCAAACTGAAATAAAAGGGTCTGTTAGGCAAGCCACTGACCAGAGAAATAACAAGTGTGACACTTCCTACCCTTGATACCTAATAATTGAAATGTTTACATTTCTAAGATATCCAGATGGTCTTACAAACAAAAGAATTAAATATATGTTCTTCCAAGCTGAAAGGAGATGAACCTACCAATGAATCATTTAGGTAGAGGACATTCTAGCTTATTCCTGACCTTCCTTATAGTGCATGCTGAGTGCTCTTTCATGAAACAGTGAGGTCATTCACATTTTTGTCTGAGACCTTTGCACAGCAAACTTAATGGAACTTAGTATACCCAGAAGGACATAAAGGTGAAGTGACAGTAATGAGAAATAGTATGATTCTGGAAGTCTAGACTTGCAGAACCGGGTGGGTGCTTGAAAAACCAAACTGTCTCCTCTAGCACAAGTCTGTAAAATGTGGGTTTTTTTCAGGGCATAAAGACAGAGCAAGGTACTGCCTGAAGACTCCATACAAACCTCTCTAACTTTCAACATGTAAAGCCAAACATGTTCTTTTCTTTGGGCAAGAAAATGCTAGCACAGGAGGATACTTCTTTATCTTGTGAGGATTTCTAATGCAATTAAATGATGAAGAAAACAGTCTTGACAACACTGATCTTTTGACAGTATCCATGTTAGAACTAGTGAGCTGTACAATTATGTTATCAGAGTTTCTGGAAATCCTATAGGACTAAAACAATAAATTGACTTTGACAGTTGAGGAAAAAAACCCCTTGTTACCTTTATTCTTCCTTTGTCTTACAGCCCTAAGTATTCCAGCATGCAATGAACACAGTTTACTGTGTGCAGTGTTAATGTTCGTTGATTGTCTGCAGCATGCTATATTCACATTTGAGCTTCTGCAATCTTAAGACTTCTTTTTTACCATCCATTGATAGCAACAGCTATTTTGAATTAAGCTTCTATGTAAAAATCAGGACTTAATTTTGACTATGGGAATAGCAATCCAAGAGCTGTATATCAACAGGTTTTTGTGCTTTTGGCTATATGTGACTGTGGCATTAAGCATCACACTGGGAAAATTAAATTAATATTTGCAGAGAGAATGGTTTTGTATTGGCACAGAAATAGGCATAGACATGGTGTCAGTGAACTTGTATTGCAAAAACGTGCTCCTTCATGCACCTTTTTGTACAAATACATTCATAATTATAAAATACGCCTATTACTAAAATCTATGCACATCTGGCTTAGAGTTATGCAATTGTGGTGTGTTTTTTTCATTCTAGTTAGAGCCTCTTGAGCAAGCAAAGCTGGATTTGGTTTCAGTGTACACGTTAAATTCAATGTTCTGGGGTAAGTATTTGGTAAAAAAAATGTATTTATTATTACCATTTGAACACCTTCTTGACAGCTGCAAACATTAAATAATCATATCACCTAGCCAAATAATTAGAAACTTTTAATTACCTCTAGGACCCAAATTTTTGCTATTACAGGGTAAACCATGTTGAAACTGCAAATAAAAAACTGATAATCACAAAAGCTGATTTTGTACATCCATGAGGATGTTTCTTTCTGTCTTTTTCTTGGCAGCATTTTCTATCCTAAGAACAGAAAGCTTAACCATGTTAGATTTTTTTTTTAAACTGCAATATTGTATTATAATAGTTTGTTAGATACCTAAAAATACAATAAACTCCAATTCTTATGAATGGTTTTAGTTTTCCTCTGTGACTGATTGATTTCAGTCCTCAGTCATCACATCTTTCCATTTCAAAAAGACATGTTTTTTCTTTCAGTGTACTTGGCTACTCAGGGAATCAATCCAAAGGAACATCCAGTGAAACAAGAACTGGTAAGATTCTTACACTGCAATGCAATATATTACTTACCCAGGACAGTTAACTCATGTAGAACTAAAAAAAAAA